GACCCATAAGTCTGCAATGGAGCTGGATGGCTCAAGTGTCGATGTCCTGAACTCAGTTGCACCCAGGAAGTCATGGTGCGAACAAGTTGCAGGAAGTCCCATGTGGACAGCAGGGAGTTTTTCAGATCAGCACATTAGGATGTAACAATATTTCCTGTTGCAACATTGACAAGTAGCATGTTATCAGAGGATATGTCATGCCGGTTCCATGTGAGCACATGTGTATTGCAGCGGTTTTCTTTGTCGCAGTATTTGTACACACGGCTATGCTATAGCGCTCTGCGAAGCGACATGCGCTCAGCGCGATTTTGTGTTCTTTTGCCATGGGCGTTGTTGGGAATAAGAGCAGAGAGCATTTTGTAGTTTGACAATCTGCTGACGGCGCAAGCACACACACACACACACACACACACACACACACACACACACACACACACAGAGAGAGAGAGAGAGAGAGAGAGAGAGAGAGAGAGAGAGAGAGATCTACGAAAAGCAAGGCAGGTTCATACTCTTCGATCTGAAGTCTGTTTATAGCTTTTATTCCCTACTCGTGTCATGGCAGATTCATACTTTTTTGTGTGAACTACAACCAGCCCTCTGTGGGAGCAGCTCAGGGCAATGATCATGGTACAAGTTAAGCGCAGGAAATAGCTCCAATGGGGCCCTCTTCTCACATGGGGGACAGCTGCATTTTCACTACGCTGTATTCTTCTCTCAATATTTTTATCTCTCACTATCTACCCTGGGCTATGTATTTGGGTTAGGGTCAAACATTGCTGAAGGGGAGGCCAACTATAGTACCCCTAAATCTACCAGCTACGAACTACCCAACGTTGGATAGAGGACCGGCCTTAATCTACCGTCCAGGACTAAGCTACCCTAAGGTTATGGGTCTACACCTACCTAACTCTGCTCTGTACAGGGGAGCAGCACCCAAGCTCATGCCTGGCGCGGGCTAGAAAGACGGGCTTAACTTCCACAACCAGCCAGGAGGGACGAGCCGACTTTCTCAGCCGGTGAACCCCAAATATGCCACACAGGGGGTCGTGGGGAATCGAATGGATGACGTGGGGAATCGAACCCACGACCTGTTGTGTACCACTTATGTGCTCAACCAACCGAGCTAGGGCGTGGAGTTTCTGTATCAGACCACATTTATGAAGGAAGGGGGCCTATACCGTCCATAAGCCAGGTTCTCTGTACAGCAGTGTCTAAAGGCCAACACTCTCCCACAAAGTGCACGAAATCCACTCATGCAAACACTCACACCCACTTTGGCTAAGGACCCTACAAACATCGACCAGGGGGAGCAAGTCGACTATCTCAGCTGGTTGGTACCCCAGGTGGTCAGTGGGTTCAGTCACCACTTGATACGAAAAAAACGATTCCGTCACCAACACAAAAGTACAAATTTAATTGAAGAAAAAAAATAAAAAAGTACAAATTTACAAAATTTAATTATTGCATCCGCTGGTTGGTACCCCACTTGAGTATTAGGACATGGATTCAATCAGTTCATAGTCTGTCATCCTGGCCCGGATTTGAAGGCCCTTCAGTTCCAGTTGTCTCCGTAGTGATAATTCCTCTCTTGCTGTGCACGGTAGACCCGAGTACAGGTCTGAGGTTGGGTGAAGAGAGAGCCTGGTCTCTACTACCTTGAGGGCTCTCTCTAGGGACTGTTTCCATTTTCTTCCTTCCTTTGACATCTTTCTAGAGGTTGAAGAGGCTGTTTGGGAGAGGCAGAGATGGCTATTGACGAACCAATCTCATCTGCTTTGTGTTGGAAGGTATTCTTTTTGGGTATGCTGCCGTACGAAGTCGGTAGATGTCGAAGCAGCCAACGACATCTTGAATGCTTTTTCGAAAAGTGGGGCTGAGTAGAAGAGAGTTGTTCACCCTCCTACAACGTCTACACTATGACCGTACCCCTGCCTCTTCCCCGTAGCCTCAATGATGGAGATTTTTAGAAACGGGGCAAACGCAAAGGAAGACCGGGTGGACTGGAAGACACAAGGGATAGTCATTAGGAGCTGGAATGTTAATGGTCTCAGAAATATTATCGACAAAGAAGAAAAAATGAATGACATAATCAAAGGGCTTACCGTTCACAAAAATAAACTGGCAGATATCACATTGCTGCCAGAAACTCACCTCACCTTCTCAGCAGAACACAACATAACTCGAAAAATCTTATCAATGAAATTGGGAGGAACAAAGGATTAAATATGGTCCTCAGATAATACGTTAAGCACGAAAGGAACATCCCCCCTTATACCCAAATCATCCCGCCTATACACGGCAGGGTTGATAATGGGCAAAAAGGCGGACATTGTAGAAGGTAGATGGTGCCTTATGGATGTAAAGTGGAAGGAGGAAGAGTTCAGAGTAATCAATGTCTACTCACCAAACGGCTCTTCAGACAGATCAACTTTTATAACAAACATCGGTCATCTGATCCCCCCTTTATCGTCCTGCATTTTGGCCGGTGATTGGAACGCAACTATAGACCCTGCCATGGATCGTATATTTAGGTCCTCGGCTGGTCAGCTTACACAGGAGGCAGTGCCCCCCCAAAAGCTGATAATGGACTACAATTCAGGGCTGCACCGGCAACCGGCCGGTTGAACCGGACCGGATCCAGCCAGGCCGGTCGGACCCCTGGTGGTCCAACCGAAATCCGGTTGGGCCCAAAACCGGGTCAATTTATTTTTATTTTTATTTTATGACGACGGGGTTGGACTGCGTTTGTCGAGATCTCCCCAAATCGGCGAGAAATTTATGATCTGAGAACTTTTCCATGGGGGTGTGGGGGGGTTTGTAGTGTGGTGGTCGCTATTTCCCGCCCGCTCTTTTCTGAGAACTCTCTCTCTCTCTCTCTCTCTCTCTCTCTCTCTCTCTCTCTCTCTCTCTCTCT